AGTTTTTACAATGACGAGAATCTATTCCTCTTAACTCGACGCAACTATGAAAGCCACTAGTTGTAGGCTGATTGATTGTTAAATTGGTTGATCATAGTTTCAGTAGTATTATATGTAATGGCTGAAATAGGAGTAATTTCTCTATTCTGTGATGTGCAGTCTTCTAACATGCTCGAAGCATCTTAAAATTTTTGTTCATATATGAAAGCTGTTCGTAAAATAAATTGGCAAGTGCATTGTGCTTTTAGTGAGCACTGCCTTTCGAACATAGTTTTGGTCATATGTAAGCACCAAAAAGAAAAAAAGAAATCATTTCTTCTGAAAATTTAAATTCTGCATAAGCGCAGTCCGTGATGCACGACCACACTGTATTCGTCACAGAATACAGGACGGTCCTGTTTATCAACAAACGACATCTGAAAAAGGACAAACCTCGTTTAGTTGTTCCCATTTTAAAGACGAATTAATGATTCGTGACCTAAGGCATAACCCCAAAGAAATGGGTTAAAAAATGGACGAACATACCTCGTTTGAAAAATTTAATTAGCGCAATTAAACGAGAATAAGTGCAAAAGTGAAGCAAAAGTTATTAAACGAAACTAACATTTTCAATCCGGCATTGAAAACTAAAACGAATTAAAACTATAGCATTGTTTGGCTGTTCGCTGCCTCGAGTGGCGTACAGCGCTTTCGCTCCAGTGAATGAGCCGGTTACGCGACGCCTGTACGACGAATGGCCTAAGTCAACAGATCCGAACGTTTAATACTAAGAAATCTGACCTCTAACCTGTCAACACAAGTAAGGAAAAGATCCTATCTCCTGCTGGAATGTGCGAATGTTAAACGGCAAACTGGGTGACGTCATTTATAATGCTGAGCGGTACCACGTCCACAAGATGGAACTCGAAGCGCAGAACCTGGAACAGGCACCTCCAAAGAAGGACTTGAAGACGCTGTACAGACAAGTTAGCATCATCAAAAATAGCGAAAACATAAGCTCCTAACTTGTCTGATTAGCATCAAGTCCAATGAACCCCTTCCAGATTCAGACAGCCGTTGGAGAAGATGGGCTGAACACCTGGAAGAGCTCCTAAATCGACCCGCTCCACTGGATGACCTCGAGATAAAGTTCGAAAAACTGGAAGAATCGGAAATCGACTGCTCTTTTCCATCGAAAGATGAAATCTGATATGCCGTATGTCTCTGCTGAAGTTCGAAATCCTGCGGGCACGTGAAGATTAATGCGAAGATTCTGAAGTGCTCAGGCGAAACACTCTAAACTGGACCCATCTAGTTTTCGGCTGCATCTGGCAGAAGTCGGAAAACCATGAGAACTGGACGCAGGGCGTCATCATATGCATGTTTAAACATGGATCACGCTTCTGCCTGTGCTAGCAGAATACTAGCTCGAATCCTTCTGATTCTTTCCAACGGCTGAAGAGTAAAGCTGACGATTCGTATCGATCAAATCAAATAAGGGTGTCGAACTGGACTCTCACATCCAGGTAATATCACCGTACTAATGATGATACTAAACATGATAAATGTTTCTAACTACCCTGGCATGCCGCATTCGTCGACTTTCGAGCAGTTTTCCACTCTGTACGCCGTCAGTCCTTGCGACACATACTACTACACTATGGAGTATCGCAGTTTTGCTGAAAGGACTGTAGGAAGATGCTAAAGGCTTCATCAGAGTAGAAAAGTCGTTTTCGAAGTAGTTTAACATTAACAGTGGAATATGAAAAAGAGAGGTGCCTTAAATTATATTATACAACGCGGCGGTGAATTATTTTACGCGGAAGGGAGTCATTTAAAACGACAGAGATGAATTTACTATCCGACGACGACGCAACCACGGTACTCGGTAGTACTGATAATACATGGGGAGAAAGCTGACGATATTTTACTGCTGAGAGGTAACGCTAATGGCTTACTAGCATTAACTGAGGCAATGTGCAAGGTGACCTCGACGACAGGTCTAGAACTCTCTCCACCGAAGCAGATTTTGGGAGCAACCGACTCGAATAAGGACTCAAAGATTTTTTGTAGTGGAACAATCATGGAGGAGGTCGAAAGCTTCAAGTAACTGGGTTCTGTACTGACAAGAGATGGTAGCTACAATATGAAATTTCATCGGTGCTTGGGGCTAGCATCTGTCAACTTCGGTGACTCTCTAAAATGTGGTAAGTTCGATATATCCGGGCAGTAACAAAGATCACCATAAAGCAACTGTCTTCTCAATTCTGGTGCAGTGTCGTGAAACATCAACCCTTTTAAATTGCCAAGTTGAGACGTTGGATACTGTTTTCAGCTGCGCTACCTGCGTACGAGTCTGAAGTGCTGTTGTTCCGTCAAATTATGAATTGAACGCTCTTGAAGGCAACCGGCTTGAAAATGCTGTCTGAAGAAATCAGGGACCGGCGTCTGTCATGGTTTGACGGAACCATGTGGAGAGCGACTAGAGAATTATCCAAAACTATTCTCCTTCAGGAAGCAAAGAATAGCCGCAGGCGTGTCAGAGATCAACATAGCACCCTAAGACAGTTGCTAAGGGCAGACTTGCTTACGACGAGGAATATGACCATTGCCGACGCAACCAACATTGCCTCTATCATTATGAGAAGTCAAAGCGTCAGACATAATCAGTCTGGGTACTCAGTCCTTGACCCTGATACCCCAAATGACGATATCAGCAACAACACCCCCAGATTACCCAAGTCGAAGTTCGTCCAGTACTCTGTTTTTCGCTTTCTGCCTCCACTTCCAACCAAGTAATTTGACAGTCGGATCATCCCCGCGTGTTATTCGACGACCGACCGGCTCGGCACTGGTGATCAAACGGAAGGCAACTTTTGATTCTTCATATGCAGTCGTTGTCTCTCAGGCGAGCCACACTACCGGTCCATTTGCGGAGTTGTAGAAAGCAGAAATAAGGTATTGTAATTCAATCCGTTGTCGAATTCGTGCGCTCAGAACTTGATCCTCAAAGAGTACCTTGCAGTTTTTTCGCTTCATCGCTCTTTGCATTACGACCAGCAGTTTGTTGTTCTCCTCGGCTATAGCAGCATATTAGCAATCAGTGCCTTAGATGATTGCGGGTAGGACGGTCGAATCGAACAGTTCTTTCTTCGCCCCCACGCACAATTCACCCTCGAGTAATGTTTTAATACAATTAAAGCTGGAGCACGCCATCTTCCTTCTGTTTGTGATTTATTCCTGTAATAAGTTCGTGCGACCTACTTGGTCGAGATATACATAGTTGGTGACTAATGCAAGTTCTTCGACGTATAAATAGACGGAGTTCTCGAAGCAATACTCGCTTTGGATTCATTTCATCTTGGAAAGCTTAGGCTCCGAACGGATGATGATAGATTCTTCTTGCAACTGCTGGGATTTCCGTTGTAGATGCATAACGCTTTGTGCGAAGACGATGCAGTCATCTGCGAATAACGAGCGTATTAGCTGCTCTCCATTCTGAGATTTTTGTTGCTGATTCAGAATTTTGTTGCTTTTCTCTTTACCCTGGAACTCTAATCGGCAAATTCTTTGGCTTATTGGGCATGCGGCTAACTTCTGGAAGCTAAAGAACTACTTTTAACAGGTACTAAGAAATAATTTGGATTCTGATTCTGCAGAAGATTGCAACAATAACATACAACGACAATAGCAAGCAATAGTAACTATATAGCAAATGACAATTGCCAAAAAGAAGTTCAGATTCGCGCTGGATGGTATCGAAATCATATGCGAATCAGAGCACCCATAGGAATAATCAATGCAAAATCCAGTTCTCACATCGAAATTACAGACTGGCTCAGCCATAAGCGAATTCAGGACAAAATGTGGGCTTCCACTGTTTGGACTTCCCATAATGCAGTGAAGTGAAATACTTTAAGCGAACCTTAATTTGAAAGCTTAATGCAGCGATCTTTTCATTCCTTATTGTCATACACTAGCGACACTACTGTTTAAACCAATGCGAATAGACAAAGATTTTCACGGATAATAGCAACGCTTGCTTACCGCAATTTTTTTGGATTTTGATTTACATCGTGCCGAACTCCAACAAAATTCCATCATGACACCAGGAAACAGGAACGGATGTTAATTATGCAACGCATCGAAATACTACAAGGACGCAGGCATGCGATTCTGGCCAAAATCGTGTTTTGTGCTGATTAGCTCTTCCATTTTGTTCCAGGTCATCTGGGAAACCAAACGTTTAATGCATGAATAAGGTCACCAAAGATAGCTGTTTTTCAGTATGAATAAAATATATTAATTAAACAATAAATAAATGCAATGTTCAAGTCTGAACTCGCCCTTTTCAGTCATCTAACGAATGACAAAACGAAGTTGCCGGCGTACGAACAGTTCGGATTAGTCTACTGCATTCCATGCAAACGCTGTGAAGCCTAAGTCGCGAAACGAGTAATTCCATGGAGCAAAGAAGGAAGGCGCAGCATTTGTGAGGTGAAGAAAAACTGACCTAAGGGAAAAAGGCAATGGGCAACAAAGATGAGGTCCGTAGCAGACGAGGATCTCGTTATAAACTGTACTCTACTGTTCAACATGATGTCACCAAAACGCATGAAATAGACTGGAGGCCAACCATGCGGTACCTGTGCCGAAAAGAAGTTTAGATCTAAAAAGAGATCAAGGAAGCTCTGTTCATTCATTCTGTATAAACAGGGGTGATAGTATAGACCTGACCAATATTTGTACTTTGGCTACTAAGCAAAAACTATCAACATTAGTCCCTACTCTGCTCCCTATGAACCTAAATCAGGTTTGACCTCAACGAGTGGACCTCTAAAGAACCCGCTTCTATAATTGTGCCAAGACAACGAGCCAAGTGATTGTTCGATACGTCGGTGATTTATCTGGCAAATGACATATACAAAGATATTCTGTAAGAAACATGGAGACCATGAAACAAGCAAATGCGACTGAACCTGACACAAAAAATATTATTAGGCTATTGCCGACCTACTGGCCGATATTTGCATGGCCTTAAACTATCAGGTTATATTAAAGGACGCATGATCTGCTCTCTGTTTATTTTGCATTTGAACAAGGTCATCAGGCGTAGTCAGAGAAGAGCGTGTACAAAAGTAGCAAATGTTGTGCCAAGAGGTTCCCTGTTCGCAGAAGATTGTGCGTGCTGGTAAACTCAACAGCTGGTCTACAGGGTGCATTCAAGTGGTTTTCAGTCGAATACTGTATGTCTGCATACGAATAAATTCAGTCAAACCCGGATCGTTATAACTTTTGAGATCCTCCACCCAGTCTACTGTGGAGGTTAGGACAGTGTCGCAGAAAGAGGTGGACAGGTTCAAGTGTGAGGAAAACGGTTCGGCGAGCGGTAATAGCCAGCTATGCTGAATCGTCGCGCCCTAGGCAGAACCATGCCAGAAGATAAAGCTGACAGTCGTCGATTTCATTCTTATGTTTGCCTATGAGTGTTGCAATAACCAAAAAGACACGATCATAAGTACAGGCAAGTTGACTACATGAAGAAAATCGCTGGGTTCTGTCTTTTGGCAAAATCCGTACCTGAGCAACCAAAACATCTTTCGCTACCTCTTACGATTGTGATGTCGCAGTAACGATGAGTTCGGCATGTTCTGTAGATGTTGCAATAGTGGATTATCAAACAGTTGTTCTTCGCTGAATCGACGGCACGACATCGCGGAAGGTCCAGAATAATTTGGAACAAGTGCGCAAATGAACGTACTTCTGGGTTTGGCATGTTTCATGTTGATTCTCAGGCGCCGACGTCCAACGTAGGACCATTAACGTTCGTGACAGTGACGTTATTATGCAGACACAGAATGGGACAAGGGGCAATTGACTGATTACTTGACAGTTTTTAGGTTCCAGGCGTTTTACCAGCGTTCTGATATCATTAGTTCGAACCAATAGCTCAGCTTCTATGCAGGGCTTTCAGAAGCGGCGTCTCGACGAATGGCCCAAAACAGCAGCGGAACGCCGACGAATTCAAGAGCTGAAAATCAGTATTTTCACGCAACATCGCCAATGGGAAAATTTCGACGCTCTCCCCATTGCGAACAAGTAACTCACGACTGTTAGCGGAGTTCCAACAAACCAATTTTCACGCTTATTTTGCAGTTAATATACCTGTCTGAGAGCTAATCGGTTGTCCACAACTCGTTGACTCGCTCG